AACAAAACAAATACAAACACAAAATTTAAAGCCTGCATCAATCTGTAATTTTTCAGATTAATTATAGCATATATAGAAAATGCTAGTAAAATATTTTTGATAAATTATTAATTATGGATTTAGGGTATGTAAATTACCAGAAGAAAGAGTGCGGCGAAACGACTGAGGCCGGTGAAGCTCTTGCTCTGCTCTCTCGGTCTCTGAGGCGGCTCACAATCTTCCTACTTCGTAAGACGGCTTCTTCTTCCTTTCGAGTTTTGCCAACATCCAACGCACCGTTTTGCCTCTCTCTTATTTAATTACTCCAACGGCCCAATGGCCCCAAAATTCGAGCTTTCTTGCCGGTTTGGGCCGGAAAGGCTTTTATTATTATTATTATTTTTTAAACCAAGCACAATTCTAGTATAATGGAGATTGTAGATCGAACTCGAGTGCAAATTGTAGATCGAACTCGAGTGCAAAGAGGCTAACACGTTGATTAAGCCAATACCCACATTTGCAATAACCCTTTATATACCCACATTTGCAATAACTCTTTATTAAGCACCGCAGAAAGAGAGTTTAACGTTTTAGATTTCCACTTGTATTGATCAGAATTTTTTTTTGTTTGAGAAGAGTATTGATCAGATTATAAGAGCTACTAGTAACCTTATTTTTCTTTTTAATACAGGTAAAAGCTAATAATAATGTTTACTATTTGTTTGTGCAAACATCAACTTTTGATCAAGGAATTTCATCAACTACCGATGGATGTGTGACTTATAGTTTTCAGCCCAACTTGAGAAATAATTAAAACAGAAAGAACTCAAAGTTCAGAACAGGCCCTGAAATCAGTATGACAGTAAAGGCCATAGCTTGGTTCGTCACCGCCATGGCCAGGCTCAACCTAAACTATTTTATTGAAAGTTTTATGCAAAACTAAAATAAATTAAACTTCGTTATTTTTTCATTTCTGGTAAATAAAAAAAACTTCAAAAGATGAGCCCATTCCAAGACTTTTGCTGGAAGCCACAACATACAAACTGTTGAAACGCCCGAGTTCATAACCAAGCGGAGCCTCACTGAAATCCACCTTATGGTATCCTAACTTTTGATACCAGGAACACTTGCTCTAAACGATGACTCTTTTCCTCCAAAACATCAATAATGCTAGTTGAACGACAAAAATCCATGAGAACTAACTACTCCTTGGAGTAACTTTCGTCATCATTTATCTGGAAGGTCGTCTGGGTCCCCTTCTCGCGAGAAGGTCATCGTAAGTCCGCGTAACCACTAACAGTCGTGGATCATCGCTGGGAATCTCACGTTTCTGCAATTTTGGAAACAGAAATGAAGGAATATTTGTCAAAACCCACAAAAATAAGAAGACTCTAGAGCTTTGATTAGATTCACAAGCATTTGCACGTATGATGTATCTTTTGGAAAAACATTGAATTGATCAACTAAAAAATGTAAATCAGAGATAAACAATACTGTTACTAATGCGTCATAAGGCAAGAGACTCACTTTTAAGCCCTTGTAATATGCTTCTACAGCAGGAAATTGAGGAATTATATTACGAGCTTGCATCAAATCCCATATATAGTTGGCAACAGTATAACCTCCAGTCTGCAAAAAAAGTATTAAACTTTTCTAATAAAACAGTCCAAACTAATTTAGAATGCATCGAGAACCAGGAGAGAGAAAGAACTATCTCATTCATTTAGAACCCAAAGAACCCTTAAGTTAGAAGAGGAATTGTTTGCAAACCTCATCACCAGCAGCTGCAAGGAGAAGATCACTCCCCATTTTTGGGCTCAAATAAAAGTTGCGGGAAGTCATATTTACCTGCGTTGGATGAAACCATAAAATGAGTTGTACGAGGCCCTGATCTACTATATAAAAAATTGACTAAGAAATTAAGAGCTGCAAGCACCCAACCATACCAATGTTTCTTGGGCAATTTGCATTCCCTTGGGTGTATGCCCAATCATGGCTCCCTCCACAAGCATCTACAAAACATATTGGGTATAATAGTGAATCTCGGTATTAGCTAATCAACGATACAGTGATATTTTAGAAATCAGATTGTCTACCAAGCACATTTTCTCACTTGCTAGTCGTTAATTATAAAGAAATAAACTGCTGTTTCATGAAACAAATATTGTGTTTATTTCCAAACTCACCGTATATAATTCTACTGCGGGAAGATTTCCTGACTTCATATAGTCGTCAAATGTCTTAAGACCACGGTCAATGTCCCCAGACTGTAGATAGCACCTGAATATAAATGATAGCAGTGAACACAACTTGGACACAAGAGAACGAATTGAGGTCATATTAGGGAACGATTCAGATAAAGCCTTCTTACTTAAATACGTAGTGCACTCCAATCCAAATTCGATTGAAAGGCTTTTAAAATCTATGTATACAAATAATAGTTTACATCTCACTATGCATTCATATATGAAGATTCATAGCTCATTCGAACAATGCTTAAGTAAAAACTTAAGTTTGTAATCAACAATTATTTACCTCATCTTTTGCATCACAATAAAGAGGTCAGGAGTTTTTCCATCTTTCTCTAGCATCCCCAAAAGAGCTTCCATCACCTAGCACGATTAACAGAATCCAAGATACGAATTAAAAATCATAGGGTTGCTCATACGTGTATTAAGGACATAAATTCAGCTTTTATGGCAAAGGGAAATAGCATGGGACTCTTACTAGCACCCTGACCTTTGGTGCTAGCTGTTCAGGCATATAGACATGGGCAGTGCCCAATAACAACCCCTCCCCAAAAAAAAGAAAAAAGAAAGGGAGGATGGGTACAAACTACAAACTAGTATCTTTAGTGGTATTGAGCTGAGAAAATAGAGATGTGAGATATTACCTCTACATTCCTGAGGTCTGCACAAGCATGAAGCGCAGCATGATACACGGTTAGTTGCCTATTCAAAAATCCACGCCTACGAGCATATTCAGCAGTAGGCATATTATATAACTCTTCTTCTGTTATATCCATCATTACATTTTCAGCAGTCATACTTGATTCTTCAACCGATGTCCACTCTTTTGACCTTTCAACAAACTCTATAATCTTATTGCAAAAAGGGAATATTAGAGAACTCATAAGAATAATAAAATAAAACTTACTTGAAAGAACATGGAAAAGAAAGATTAGATAATTACTTTGGTGCCAAAATCATCTGGTAAGGGTGTCTTGTTCCTAAGTGCGGTTATAAGTGCTGCATAGCAGAACTTGTTTAATCCAAGACCAGCAGCGGTCATGTCACGGACAATTGCGTACCTGTAACAACATTGCAATGCAGATTAATAGCATGAGGTCAAATTCACCATAGTAATAATGAAACACATAGTTTTCAGGATAAGATGAATGAGTATGGATTAAAAGAACAAGGAAAAGCCAGAGCATAAAAGAAGAAGCATACACTCGATCTAAATGGCCAGTAGCTGCACATGCGTTGAGTAGACACATGTAAGTTTGCACCTTCGGTTTCACGTCAAACTTCTTCATATCTTCCAAAATCTTTGATTTTAAAAGGAAAGGAAAAATAAAATACATCATACATACCAATATTCCCTAGTGAATGATATGACTGAGGTCTATAGTTTATAAATAGAAGGTAAAAAACCGCACCTGAATAGCTTTGTCAGAGTGCTTGCACTTCCCACACAATGTGATCAAAATGTTGTACGAATTAACCTATAATTTTTATATAAAAAAATAGTTAAAAAACACAAACTAATAAACACCCATACTTGCATTTCCCCATAAAATGAAATGAAAATGTTGATACTCTCTAAGCTTGAAAAACGAAAAAAGAAAAAAGAAAAAAAAAGGTGGCATACATCAGGGGCCAAGCCCATGTTTTTCATTTGATCAGCAAAGTAGAAAGCGTCCTGCAAGCTAGAGCCTTTCATGGTGCCCAATATTAGGGATTTGAAGGTGTCCTGGTCCGGCTGCACCCCATCGAGCATCATATCATCATACACATCCCTCAGTAAGAAATGCCTTCTCTGAGCATTCAGAGAATTCAAGACCGTATTGTACTCCGACACGTTGCTCGCGTAGTTTCTCTTCGCGTATTCTTCTGTTGACGCCGCAGCCAAGTATCGCCGACCCAGCGCTCGCAGCAGCACCGGCCTACACTGACCTGCACCGTAATTTAGCAATAACCTTTAAAAAAAAATCTAACGAAATGAAAAATTAGAGCTTTCTAGCTATGGAGGAAAAGGGTGTATCAGTAGCATTACCAGTAATGGATTGGAGAAGCCTCATAGTGTCGCTGTTGCTGACTCGCTGTGTCTCTGTGTGAGTGAAAGTTTCTCTCTTTCTAAACCCCAAAGGCCCAAACCCTTCCCCTTCGCTGCTTTCTTTCTTTCCTTCCACTCTGCCCTCCTGATTCACTGCCTTTAACAGTGGAACGCACCGTTTCAATGCTCCGTGGGCTTTGGGGGGCCATGAAGCCCAAACACAGAGCTTAAAATAAAAAGCAAACCCAAACACCGCCTTAAAATAGCAAGCAGGGCCATGAGAAGCCCAATTAGAAAAATATATCCTTTATTCGAAACTAAAGGAGTTCAAATTCGATTGGGTGCACGGATGACTGATCTTAACCACTTGAACAACTAAAGTATGTATTGTTTGCTCATAATGCCCATATGTTAAATAATGTATCAAATAATGCTAAATAATATCACGATTATGAATTGATTGCTCAAGTACAAGTCATTTACATCAAGGGTTGGATTGGTCTGGCGGTCCTCCAGACATAGCAATTACCATAACTTACGACTCCCACCAGCCAACTGCTTTCATATTTAAAGCTCATCTTCATTAATTTAGATTTGATTATAGTTGGTTGTGAACTTGTGGTTAAATCCTAATTGCAGAGGCAACATGCCAATGTCCCTTCTGTTCTGTCCTATCAAAATTATAGTTGGTTGTGAACTTGTGATTAATCAGTTTTTGGCAATAAAATGTACATGCAATCTAATTCAGAGGAAAGAAGACACAAAGTGATGATTGCCATAGGAGGTCATGTCTTCGAATTCCCCCTTTTAAATTTCTAGGAGAGTGATCAGAGAAAAAGACAAGAACCCATCTTTAGACAATTCTCATATGCATTGTCACACAGAAAAACAAGCAATATGTGACCAAAAAAGCTAGAAAATAAAAAAGCTACCAATATTAGAGAACACAAATATAATTCTTAAATTTCTTTCTGCAGAAACCGCATCCATATTAAGCAATATTTGTTGTTGGGATTGGGAGGGTATAGCTTGAGGGCAAGGCAGCCTTGTGAAGGCTCTTCAACGAGCTGGGATTGACTTGCAGGAACAAGTAGTTGCCAGCAAAAAGATCACCAAAGTGGCCTTGCCCTTCCTTGAATCTCTGCAACACTTTAGCACATGAAGCTCTGAGAGCAGAGATCAACCTAATTTTCCTCCTCAAGAACAAGAGCCTCTTCAAGCTTGGAACTTTGAGCTTGAATGATCTCCTCCTCCTAATATGAACCTTTCTGAATCTGAACTTGCACCAACTCGTACTCCTTGATCTCGCCAACACTCTCACTCTTCCATAATCAAAATCATCATCAAGTTCAAGCCCATCTTGATCATCATCATGCTTGAGTCTTTGGTATGCAGGGAGCTTGGCAGAGGAGGATGAGGTCGTCATTTCAATATTTCGGTTGAGAGAAAGAGAGAGAGAGAGAGAGAGAGCTAATTGTTGAACTTGAAATATTTGGTTTGGATATGTCAATGCAGAATGGTGTCCGTTGAGTATGAGCACTTGGTTTTCTGAGCTAGTAATATTGTGAGGGAAGGGATAGTTGGTTCGGGGAAGATGCTGAGTGCATTAAATGAAACAAAGAAAGTGGGTAAGGATTGTTGCTGGTGGTGGACGTGCGTCGCAAATTACTTTTGCTTGTCCCTTTCTTATAATATCCAAGCAAAATAAACAATTGTAAAATAAAAGGATGGAAAAATAACATTTACCATAAGTTAAGAGGTTGGATTTTTGTTTTTGTTTTTTTAGGACCTTTTTTATTGAGAGGGGCTCGAACTCAAGACCCGAACCCAAGATTTTGCCTAAAAATATAAATACTCTAAACCATTATTTGCAAAAATTAATATAAGACACCATTAACAGATCGAATGAGAATTTCACATCATATAAATACAATGCAGCATAAATAAAATAAAATAAAACACGACACGGTTGTCAAGTCTATTTATGTATCATAGAAAGCAGATCATCATCAGGTGAAGTTGATGACAAGCACGCGTCACGGAAAGCCTCCAGATGAGCCATTTTCAAGCAATAGACTATCCAGTAGCACAGAAAGAAGCACATGCTTTAACAAGTTAAGAGACGTGCCACCTCCTCTTTTTTCAGGTTTCAATCCACATCCACCGATGGAACACTAAACACGTGAAACCTTTTAATTCCATAACCAAGTTTTTTAGGCATTCCCGCAAGCCATACCCCAATGCCATGGACTTTTGCCTAGCTTCTGCTATAAGCAAGCAGCAACAATCTAATCATGGGTCATGGGGGTCATGGGTCATGGACCACCATCTACAACAATTCAATCGCAGTGGAAAAAGCGGACGACGACCACCCATCTACTCTTTACACGAACAAGAAAACGACCAGCAACAACCCAACTACAAAATGTACAGATTTAATTTCCTTTTCTTCTTTTTATTTTCAAACAAAAATAATATTTTTTTCAAAAAACCTCACTCACTAGAGCATCCTCGCATCTGGATCATGAACATCATCGTATATTGAATTCGGCCAAACCTAAGATCCTGATCAACTAAGCATTGAATTACAAAGAAAGAACGTACTGATCGGAAAAGAAACCAAAACAAAAAATAAAAAGAATGTCAGTCAACACCAATGAATATCTAATATGGGCAAAGCATGTCGTCCTTAATAGAGTTTTATTCTCGTCTGGATTGCGCTTCGGCATATCGGGCACGATTGAAGGTCCTGTCCACATTCGCAACATGTCTGCACCAAAAAGATGAATTAAGAAAATGGCATCGCCCCAATTCACCTCCAAAATATTTGAGAAACATTATCATTCAAATGTACCTGATGCCCACACCCAAAGGCCATGTCTTTTGGATTCGTAAGGCAAATGGGGCAAACCTGTCCAACACCATATAAAACGTTAACCCACAAGAGTGTTGCAAACCCAAATGAGCAAAAAGCTTCAATCAAGTCATAGATCACAGACAATCAAGCCTCGGATTCCAAAGTAATTCAAACATACCAAATGAAAATCATATAAGAAAATTGGGACTACATGTGTATCACACAGGCTTTTGACTTGATGAACAAAAACGAATAAACCATCAACTCAAAAATATGTTCGCTCGCATACCTGATTATCATAGGTAGAACTGGGAGCAGGTGGGGCTGTACCAACAGAAGAGCTATCTCCATAATAAGGAGGAACACTTGGCTCAAAACTGGCAGATTGGGAAGGTTTTGAGCTGTTGAAAGATGGAGAACTATAACTCGTAGAACGGGAAGGTTTTGAGCTGCTGAAAGATGACGCTGGTAACACAGATGGTGGGGGGAGAGGAACCCTCTGGGGAGAGGCGCCGATCCTACCACTGCCCATTTAAGAAGAAGAAAATATATACATAAAAAAATTATGTAAACAAAGGTAATCAAAAGCTTTCAGATATGAGAAATATAGAGAACATTCTTACCCCAATATATTAAGCTCTATTGTTGCTTTGTACTGTGAAGGAATTTCCATCAAGGCTGCTAGAGCAAATTCGGTCTCTTTTCTTGATGGTGGCATGTTCTTTGACATAATTTCCGTAAAATTCACAAACTACAAACAACAAAAGAAATGCAGTTTCCAATTAAGTATTTTCCAATAATCATAAACAAATGATCATGAGTAACATAAACAAGAACATATTGTAATGCTAACACCTTACTTGGAAATTATCAAATGCCCGAGCAGGAATATTGTCATCAAATTCCTTCATCATGTCCCAGGGCCCATCTCCGACACCAACTAGTACAATTGATAGAGGGAACTTGCTGTGATAAAGGAAAAAAAAAAAAATTGTACAACATAAAAAATGTTGGCCAAACAAGCAACTAATATTAAGGACAAATTACCACACTCACCTTGCTGCAACAATGGCGTCGACTGTCTTCTGCTCCTGTGGACTTAGCTTGCCACGGTCAGTATCTACACTTCTAGTTACCTGAGGAAAATCTCACATTAAGTCAGATAATATCTTGAGAAAACTTGAGATTACAATAGAACATTGCCACTTCCAAGCCATCATAAAACAGAGCAAGGATGAGAAAGCTCGTTTAAGAATAGATGTGTCCAGCAACGTGTAATTTCATACAGAGTTGAGCCTAGGAGCTAGTGCAGGCACCGCTAAGAGATCTTCAGTGGATGCTATTTATTTTGCATGACCAGCATGTCTGAACTGTGCTAGACCTTAAAACCAAACAGATACTTTCCCGCCAAAATAAAAACCAAAATGGGCAAAGAAGTTTCATCTTACACAAATTTAAAAGCATTTTACTCGATCTGGATTTGAGATTTGCAATAATGACAGAAAAGTAGTGCAATGGTTTTCTGTTGGATTAGTCACACACATTTTCGAATTTTCACAGAAAATCTGAAGCATGGCCGGCATGCTCGACCCTCTAGTTGCATACTCAACTAAATAAAACAAAATTAAGGCAAGATACCTGGCCATCTGCAATTATCAACAGGACATGGTACTGGCCACCACTCTCCTCGACAATAGTCATGGCCTGTTCAATCACAGGTGCAAATGAAGTTGGTCCTGCCAAACCGATCAATAACAATGTAAGACAACTGATTAGCTGATATAGCGACCACTTCAAGAAATAAGTAGTTAGGAAGTGAACTAAAACCTGCAAGCCGTAGATGAGGAACAATTTCCCTGTAGCGAGTCAACACTTCCTCAAATCCATTGCAATATCTATCATAGTAGAAACTAAAGACATCTTGATCATGGGTTGACGCTGCAAAGCGAAAAAGTAATGCTTGTCATCCCCGTCTTACAAAGAACAAGATCTTAGAGAAACAAAATGACAGCATACAACTAAAAAATTACCGTCTCCAAAGCCGAAACAGGGAATGAGGTTATCCTCGTCAAAAACAGCCAAGGTTTTTCCAATAATGGATATGGCATGCTCATAGGGATTTTGACCATTCCCAATGTCATGCAAGCTTTTTCTGTTGAATGACTTCGATCCTATTAACAAAACCAATTTCAGCACGTTCCATTGCAACACATACCATATACAGTTAATTAGTTTATTAGGGGTTAACCTGTCCACTCATTGCTCTTTGTGAAATCAATACCAACGATAAGATTGGAAGACTCAAGACCAGCACGTGCAAGAGCTTCAGTCACCTACAAAGATTGAAGTTGAGTCAATATAATTGACCATTGTAGATAGGTAAGAAACTTGAACCAGAAAAAGGAAAGCTTGCAGAAGATACAGTGTAGTAATCTTACCTCCTCTAGGGATTTGTAACTATCAGAAATTATTGAATATTTCCTCTCCAAGGTAGGACGAGTTGCCCGAGCACCACCATAATCCTGCGATGGGGGATAGTAAGGCTGTGATGGTGCTGGATAGGCTTGCTGGGGTGGTGGATAGCTTTGACTTTCTTGAGCATATGGCGATTGAACTTGTGGATAGCTCCACGATGAAGAAGTAGAACGAGAAGATGAATTCTGCCTATAACTCCCCTCCTTTGAACTTCTCCCACCCATTAACTCAACTCTATTAACCACAAAATCAAAAAATATAGAAACAAAAAACCTCAAATTTAATAAACGCAAACCCTATTTACCTTCCTTCACAACAATACAGGACACACCATCGA